ATGCAGCACATTGAGACTTAGTAACATGAAAGTGATAAAAAAAAATTATTCTGTAGAACAATACAGTTCCAAGCAGCAAATTTCTTTGCATATTTGTTTCATTTTTTTTTTCTTTAGCCAAAATTTATTGCTTCAATATTAAGTTACTGAATGGAACCGAATGAGCCCTTATTCTTCCGTCCTAATAGCTTCATAGCAAAAGGTGTAGTTTAAAAAATGTTTTACTAAGGAGCAGAGAACTGTATTTATACCCTCTCCACATTGCATTTATCACCTGAATAGAAGTTGTCCCAGTGGAAGACTGCCATAAAATTGTTTGGAAAGGTGGGATTTTTCACATGGAATCTAAAATTAATGAGCCTTTCATAAACAGAAGCAAGTATCTTCAGGACACGCATTAGTGAGCTGCTTCTGCTTTTCATGAGCAGCTTAAGTCACTTACCCTTCAGTGTTAGATTTCATCTAGGGTATGCACCAATAGCTTCTGCCTCTCCTTGTCACGGTTTATTGACAATTTATACAGCTGTCCCTATGGCTCTGCAGCAGGATACATTGCCTACCAGATCTCTGCACCTCCTTCCATTAGCCATTAACTGGAAACAGCATGCATCAGTCACCAAAGTATTCCTTCCTAATTCCTTCAGCCAGGAGATGAATGAAAACACATTCCTTGCTGAGACATAGCTTTAGGATTTTTATCTCCTTCAAATACTTCCTAAAATCTGTTCCAGAAATGTAGATTCTCATTTTGGCAACTTTCACCACCAGTGATTTGAAGGCCTAAAGAATTAAGAAATGTAATTTGCTTAAATCTTTGTGACAGGTAAGCATCTTTTTGAAAGGCAGATCGAAAGATCTACTGAGGATATTAACCAGTACCACTTAATTTTATCCTAAATCAAGTAGGTTTAATAATCAATATAGCAACAGAGTATGGGAGTAGAAGTACTATTTATAATGTTATTAAATTTATTTTGAGAGAGTAAATTAGCAGACTATGACAGAAGTATTAGGTGTTAGTAGTACTAACAACTACTAGTTACTATTACTATGTTTAGAATTCAGGAATGAATTCTATCTATGGCCTATGAAAGGAATGATTTCATCTGAATTAACCACCTGAGTGTGGTTACTAAGTAGGGATCAAGGAGATATTCTATGTTAAGATATAACATTTTCTCTTTCAATTGGGTATCCAGATTCCATTTTCTGACATTAGAGCAGTTCTTAAATCTTGAATCTTGCAAACCAACTACTGCTTTGAAGTATCTTGAGCAGAAACTTCTTTTGACTTTGTCGACTTTTTTCCTTTCTTGAAAATAAATTGCAAGTACGGTCTTCACAGCTTCTGGATACTGCCCAGAATTGTCTGTCTTGATTTAAAATGCACTCGAGGACAAGGTTTCAACCTTGTGATTCAACATTCCCTTCCTTTAAAAATAATATTTGTCTTATATACAGCCTTCTATTATCAAATACAGCTTGTATTTTGTGCAACTCTCATCTTAAAAAGAAAATCACTTAATTCTATTTCCTCAAAATCAATCAATAAATAAACAACTATTTAGATATCTATACATCTGGCATGTACAGAAGACTGTAGAAACTTGTCATATAAAAATGAAAAGTGCACTGTTTCTCATGCTATTTGTTTCAACTGAATGAAATGAAATATGTCACAATACTGAAAACTCTTTTTACAGAACAAAAGCATCAAGACAGCAGTAGCGGAAATAATCCTCTCACTGATACGTAGGTGCATTCCTTTTAAATTTACACACCTGTAGAGGATGTAGAGGATGTTCTAAAGAAATGACATTTTCAGTCATATGCAGTCTCAGGCAAACAATAAAAAGTGGTCATGTTAGCCAGTTACAGACTTTACTAAAATAAATAAATAAATATTAAATATATAAATAAAAATTAAATAAATGAGCAATATTTAGCAATAAGTTAAACAGGGTCACGCACACACATATTAGCAGTTTAAGCATGCCATAACCTGGACTTTAAAGTATAATTACCTTTGTGGACTTTTGGAAGGGTCCATAATAATATTCTTTGGAAGGGGGAGTAGTACAGATAAGATTATACATCTGTTGATGTAGATATGTAGATAATTTTAGGTTTAGATTATATTTATAAATATATTTACATATATTATATGTAGATAATTTTAGGTTTTTGTTGATGAAGATCTTCAGAGCAGAGTTAAATTGATGAAATGACAGCTTTTCTTTGTGATAAGCTTTAGCCACAGATTTTTTCACATCTTGTATTCTCATCCTAGCATATGCACCTCATGGAAATCACATACGACTAAAAGGCAGATAGCCTATTTTCCAAAATTCTACTTTGTATTAGTCACTCACTACTTCTGAGAACACCAAGGCCTAATTAGTCTGCCTTGATTTTACATCTCCTAATGCAGCATGTACAGCTATACTCATCCAAGGGGAGAGTCATCCTTCGTATCTCTCCTGGCCCTTTTAGTACTCAAAAATACTATTACAAGTCACTGAACATAACAGAAAAGAACATGCTGGTCCTGGGAACTACACCAGAAATTATAAGTCACAGTAAGCATATTTCTAACAAGCCATTGCATGTATAATTTGGAGGATTTGTTTGTTTGTTTGTTTGTTTATTTTTATTTTAATATCACCACAGTTATTCACATTTTTTTTAAACTTTAAACAAAACTACTGTGACTGAAAGTTGCAGTTATTCCAGTCAGAATATATACATATATACATATATGTATATTAATAAATAAGCACATGTTCTCAATGCTATAAATGAAACTTATTTTCTGGTACATATCTGTAGTGGGTTTACATGGCAAGGTTTTGGCAGCCAGGGGGCCGTAGGGTGAGAAGAATCCAGAAGTTGCCCCATGTTAGACAAGGGCCATGCAGCTAGCTAGAGCCAGGCCAATATTGTTTGCACCTCTGTGAGAGCATAGTTAAAACAGGGAAAAGCAAACAAACAAACAAGCAAACAAAAAAAAACCCTGCTGGGAACAGCAGCTGGGAGGGAGAAAGGAGTGAGAAACAGCACTGCAGCCCCCAGTGCCAGCACAGAAGGAGGGCAGGAGGTGCTCCAGGCAGGCAGCAGCAGTTCCCCTGCGGCCTGTGGAGAGGCCCCTGGTAGAGCAGGCTGTCCCCCTGCAGCCCATGGGTCCCACATGGAGCAGATCTCCATGCTTCAGCCCATGGAGGAGCCCCCGGTGGAGCAGGTGGATGTGGCCTGGAGGAGGCTGCGGCCCATGGAGAGCCCCCTGCAGGAGTAGGCCCCGGGCCGGAGCTGCAGCCGGTGGATAGGAACCCACACAGGAGCAGGGGGCCTGTGGGAAGCTGCCTCCCATGAGGGGCCCATGCTGGAGCAGTTTGCTGCTGGGGGATGGACCCCGTGGTACAGAGCTGTGTGGGAGCAGTTCTTGAAGAGCTGCTGCCTGTGGGCAGCCCCTGAAAGATCAGCAGGCTCAGTTTGGGAATGATGACATCCTGTGGGAGGGACCCCACGAGGAGCAGGGGCAGAGTGACCGTGAAGGAGTGGAGGAGATGAAGTGTTAGGGATTGACTGCAGCCCCCATTCCCTTGTGCTGCTTGGGGGGAGGAGGTGGAAGAAGACGGATGGGGGGAAGGTGTTTTTGGTTTCTTTCCTTTGTTTCTCACTTCTCTAGCTTGTTAGTAATAGGCAATAAATCGTACTATCTCCCTACTCTGAGTGTTTTGCCTGTCACGATAATTGTTGAGCGATCTCCCTGTCCTTATCTCAAACCTTGACCCTCTTACACTGTATTTTCTCCCCCTTCCCTTCTGAGGAGGGGGAGTGAGAAGGCGGCCATGGTGGAACTTGTCTGCCCACCCGAGTAAAACCACCATGGTATCAAATAACTTTTAAATTTTATTCTCAAAATTGTATCTCCAGTTCGCCTAACACCATAAGGAGACCATAGAGAAATTCTACTGTCTTATCACAATGAACTGTGCACACATCTATTGTGAAAATTTTGGAAGTTAAAGCTTTTGTGACACCTGTTTAAAGTTCGTTTTACTCATCAACATATTTTCAGTATTGGCTCCACCACTCAATATTTATTAGTGAATCATAAAATCATACAATGTTGTTTGGGAGGGACCTCTGCAGGTTGTCTAGCTCAACTTGACACAAAAAGTGGGACTGTGTCTTGCAGCAGATCAGGTCACGTTCGCCTTTCTCTAACCATGTTTTGGAAACATCCAGTGGTGGAGGAGCCATGACCTCTGTGGGCAACTTGTTCAGCACTGCACTTGTATTTCTGCTGACAAGCTTTTTACTGAGGTTTGGCTTGTTTCCAGCCTCTGTTACATGAAAGTCTGTTGCTACTGAGAAGAGTTTGGCTCCATCACCTTTACAATTCTCATTTAAAGGGCTGTAAAGCTGTCAGATGAAGAAAGCCTAGCTCCCTTCATCTCTTCTCAAAACCAGTGTGCTCTAGCTACCATCTTAGCTGAACCCTCTTGAACAAGATGTGCCCAACTCTATGCAGCATCCCCAGTGCAGCCTCACCAGTTTTGCACAGAGCAGGAAGCATAACTTCCCACAAATTCTGTATTGTTGGAACTGCAGCATCAGTGATGAGATGTATATAGAATAAATAATTTTTAGCGTATTCTATAGAATTCTACAGAAATATAGAATTTGTCAAAAATAGCTTAGTAACTCAGATAGAAAAATAAAATAAAATCTGACTGCGTGAGAAGTAAGCTAGTTAAAACAAAAATCACATCCTCTTCAGGATAAGTATCTTTGAAGTATCAGGAGAAGTATGCTTTGGTCTGGTAAGGAATTGTGACCTAAAGACTTACCCACTAGGTCAGTTTATCCATTGAGGAAATGATACTAGATACCATGAATACTACATGATTAAGAAGACACAAACTAAACTCAGATTATAATATATGAATTCAGCAGCAAACACTCTTACCCTAAAATCAAGACAAAAAGATTCCATCCAGCTTTCCATTAAATTCTTTTTATTTTTTTACAAGTGCTTCATAATGAATCCACGGTGAATCAGTATGTATAAACACCAGTTTCATTGTTAAAACAGGAAGAAAATCAAACATAACTGTCAAACTTATTTGCCACATAAAAAAGAAAAATCATAAAATGAATGTAACTGCAATAATAACAGTCATCTTTGGATATTTTTTTATTCAATACCTTAAAAAGTCATTTACACTGAGATTGTATAGCAAAACCAACCAAACAGCAACAATAAAAAGCTTGCAAATGCTATATTCTTCTCAAAGTCAGTCCCAGAATCTCAAAGAAAAGCAAAATATCCTCTTTATCATCTGTCTTTTCTCCCGTGCTTCATGAACTCCTCTTTTATTTAGTATCTCTTCCCTACATATAAGCAATAGTTCAAGTTAGTATAACTTACATTCATTGTACTTAAATTTTAATACTCAAATGTTACCTCTAGAGACACCAGAAAGGCAAGACATCCTGAAGTTACAGTTCATGCTGAATGCTGCCCTGAACAGAAGGATGAATATGCTATGACAACGGAATACTAATACTTTGAACAAGTTATTAAACTACTCATATTCTACACTAAGCTGACCTACAAGAGAAGTAAAAAAAAAATGTATTATGTTTGTCATATTTATGTCTGAATATTAGTATCTCTGGATTTGGTGGAAATTGCTATTTCTTTATTTGTCTTAATTCAATGATCTCCTCAACAAAAAGAAAAAAAAAATTAAGCAAAAAAAATCAAACCAGTAGTGCCATAAGAATGATAAAAGTAGTCTAAGCAGGCATTATCTGTACATCGCAACAGTATAATTTTCCACAGTTATGGGGTTTCCTCAGTGTGTAAAAGGGATGAATAAGGTGAGTAAATACGTTCATTGGTGCTAATATAAAATGTGCGTCAGTAATATCCTACTTATCCTTGCCATTATCCGATTTTCCACACTTTTTTTTTTCTATTTGTTTAGATGTCTACTGTTCATAGATAGCTTTTCATGTTTTCTTGTTGCTGACAAAAGGTTCCTGCCAATTTTAGGAGCAGTAATGAACATAAACTTGTATTTCTTGAAGTTACATGCCTTTGAAAGTTTCTATTTATCAGCATATTTAAAATATGCTGCTTTAATTGAAAGCTGTTTTCATAACCTTCTTACCACCTTTGTGTAAAAATATGTGCTTGATCTTATAAAGTTACAGTAACACTCATTTGAATTACAGAATATTGTACAAATGTGCATAGCAATCCAGAAAATCAATCTTTGCCTTTTGGTCTCATGGTTTAGAAAATGTAATATCAACAGGTATGAACTCAGCTTCATTATTGTCTGACAAATGTTTGGTTGTCTTTATTTCAATCATTTCTATGCACATAAATAATATGTTGTCAGCTTTATTTCACTTAACCATTGTTGACAGCAAACAACCTTCATTGCAATATAGCACAGAGTAAAGCTATACTGGGTGTTCATTTGCATCATGAATGAAATTAAGTCTATAACTCTTGAGGACAGAGGAGCATGTTCTATATACAACTGATGTTAGAGTAGCAAATTCTGAGTTGACATCCATTGTAGAGGACAAAGTAAATACACATAAACAATAAGCATTGATTTGTGTTGCATATTTTTAGATATGAAAATTTTTGCTGCAAAATTCAACTTTTTTTTGTTGTTGTTGTTGTTGTTATAGTGATATATTGTTTAATACTGTGCTGTGCCCTAACTTCATTTCACTCTAAAAGGATGCACCTTTAGTGAAATGTTTTCTCTTCTCAGATACTGCTTCCAGATACTTCCAAAGCCCTTTTTTATTTCCAGTCCAAAGCCACAGGAGTATTATTACCATCTGAAACAAATGAATTGAGATTTTCTTTCTTTAATTTATGCACATACATATTATTATTACTTAGTAAGTCTTTTCATCTATCTAAATTTTGTCCCATCAAAATGGAAGCTGCCCACATAATTTCCCACCACAAATGAGAATCTCACAACTATGTTACAACTCCATCTGCATTTCAATCTTTCTAGTGCAGGATATTAATTTTACAATTATTTTATTTAAACATTTAAGTAGGCCTACTGACAGATTCACTGTGCTAATACATATTTAGTGACATGGTTCTTGGTGATTCTGGACTAAATTTGTCTTCAGTGTTTCTTCACTGAAGTAAATATAAAAATGTATCTATTCAAAATTAAAAAAATTCCTAAGTTTAACTGCAAAGCTTTTATTTATGTATTTGTTCTAAGAAACCCATAAAATGATGTGATTAAGCTGCAAGACAGAGAAAAAAAAAGTCAACAAACAAAACAAAAACAAAAGCCAAAAAACATAACATGTTTCTATGGTACCTGGCAGGAAATGAAATGCTTTCACTATTACAAATGATGTGGTTTTAAAGTGGCCTCTGCTTAGAAAATAGATGAGACCATATGTGTTGCCTAAGTCTATGACATCCAAAGTGTCATCTAATGTGACTGGTTTATTTCCTGTGTTATGTCAGATAATGCTAGCAAGCTTACTTGCTTTTCTTTCCAGATGTCTTCTCTTTTGCTATACACAATGTGGAGCTGCCGGGCATCCTTTTCCACTCATCAGGGATGTGGCTTCTAATATTAAACCTATATAGATAATCCATAGTGTTTGTTGTTGTTGTTTTAATTTATTTATTATTTTTACTTTCTTCTTGTTTATTTGTTTGTTTGTTTTAATAGTTTGTAAGTACCAAGTCTCAAAAGTTATAGATATCTAGACCAGTGTAAGAGGAGAATACCCTTCTTATTACACATTCAAACTGTTTATTTCAAGCAGTGTAAGAGTGACTGCACACAGGAAGGATGCTTTTTAAAACTGTAGTTATGGCTCCCAAGAAAAACTAAGATAAATGAGAAAATGATAAAAGTATCTTCAGAAGATAGTTTACAAGTTGAGACAACCATCACAAAACACTTTGGCTGAAAATTCCATATACTTAGTAATTCAAACAGAGAAAGCAGAGAAAATAGTTCAGAAGAAATCTTATTATTAGCAGAATTGTTTCATATTCAGTGCTTTAACATTACAAAACAAGTTGCACAATTCCTTTGAGACAAACTCACTTCATTTCCAAGATATGAGTCCTGGGATCCTCAGTCCAGTTTGTTCCCTATCTACGCTTCTGAACAGAAGGAATATTTATGGAATATTTATAATATTTATAAATATTCCATTTATATATTCCAAATATATAATATTTATAAATATTCCATAATATTTATGGAACATTTTCCCCAGGAAAATGTTTTTAAATCTAATTAACTCAGAGCACTCTTCCAAGCTTCTCTTGAAACTCCCAGTAAGTTTCTTCCTGAATCAACTTGGTGTTACCATATGGCACATACCACCCTGTGCATAGATTGTGAAAGAATTTGATTATAAACTGCTCATCACCAACATAGGCAAATAAAGTTAAAAGTAGTAGAAACTGAAAAGAAGCAGGCACTACTCTAAACCATTTATTTTAATATAAAACAGAACTCAAAAATCTTTACGTTTTAAAGATTTATTTCAAGATAGAGTATGAGAGCACTACTATGTTTAAGCATACTGAAAGATAAAGCTCAGTCAAGTCAGTATGCTGTCTGGTATTGAAATCATGAACTTTAATATGCAACTCATGCAAGTAACCACTTACATTTTTTTTGCAGTAAGAAGCCATACAAGAGACAGAAATTTTCCTTGCATTTTCTGTCTTTTCTAATTAAATCAAAACTGATTTTCAATTCATTCATTCTACTGAGAAATCTTAAAAACTCTGAAGAATCTAAAATATGATATTACAAAAGACTACAGTTCAAACTGCAACTCAGCTGTCATGGAGCGGTATGGGGATGTTTCAGTTTCTATCTCAACTTCATCCACTATCACCTTTCATACTTTGGAGATATGTCAAGAACCTCTAGGAAGAGGAGACGGAAATGATTATGTAGTACTCTTGATTTTTCAAATGTCAAGAGAAAGAAGTTTGAATGGATTATTATGTCTTGCTAGTGTACTTCAACTCTCCTCCAGACATTACAGCTTAAGAAAGTGAACAGTTTAACTCACTTTGCCAATGCTTAAGCCTTTTAGGTAAAGACAAAGGTCAGAGACAGTAAGATCTCAATTTTCTTCTCCCAGTAATTGACATGGAGTTACTATTAATTAACAAAATGATAGTGCAATTACAAATGATTTGCCACCCTCAAGCTATGCCTCAGAAAGATTTTTTTCCAAATTTATAGAGAATGAAACCCATTATTTTTTATTTGTGTTTCTGCCTTTTAGGCATCTACAAAAACAAAAAATTTAAGACAGAGCATTACATTGAAAAAGACACATCTGAACACATTTTCTGAGAAATTTCAATGTGAATTTGTGGCTTCTGATAAGGTTTATCAAATACCCTGTGAAATCATGTTCCATTTTAGGACTGCTTTTTCCACTGAAGCCATAAACTATCAGAGAATTCCAAGCATAAGAAAAAAAAATATACCATTATTGAAAAAGTCTGACTCTGAAAAAATGCTGCAGTTTGTGAAACTCGAAAAAAGGTGATAACTGGTTCTATTAAATTGCTTCTTTTTGAAGAATTAAGCAAAACACACCACTTCATATATCATTTATGATATATTGGGAGGGTATATTGGGGGGGGGAGGGAAGGAAGAAAGTTGTTATTGAATGGATAGACCACAGCAATGCTTGGTGGTAGGCAAAATGTTTAAAACAAAGACTTTCTCTTTTTGATTGTGATTATTTATAGAGAAGGACTATTCAAATGATTAAATACATTACTCAAAAAATGCCCTTGAATGGTCATTTAAGGATCGCTATTCCTAAATATATTCAGTGCTAAACTAACCCTGTTCTCATTGAACTCAATAGGAAAACAGGAAGAAAAACTGCCATAGATTTTTCAATGGATACAAAATGAAATCAATGCAAAACTTCCAAAAGCCTTATGTAAATGGGATGACTGTTGTGAAATGACTATTCATCTTTCATTTAGTTTAGCAACTGCTACAGAAAAAGGTCACACCAGTCCAGTCAAACAAAGATACATTTGTGAAAATGTCTCTTCTCTTGTATTCTCCTTCCCTCTCATTTTCCATATTTTTTTACTGTTTTTTTTTTTTTTTCCAGTTCTGTAATAACGAAAAATAAATAAACAAGGAACTTAATTCAATTTAAGTTTTCCCAGAGGCCTCAAAATCACAAAAGCTATATGTGGGTGAATTGTGTTGTTAATATACATCCCCTCTGAATTTAGTTTCGAGTCAAGCATCTCAGAGCATGGATTTCCATTCTTGAGTCTCAGCCTGAAAACCATTTAGGTTTCTAAATTTGTTTCCTTCAAGAGTGATAAAAGCTACATTTGTACGCTCAGTAATGTAAGACTTTAATTAATGTATTTATGCATTTTATAATTATCTTACGTTGTGTCTGTAACATATTCTGTGAATTTAGGATTGTCAGTAATGAACTTATGATTTAAAAATTTTAAAAAATAATATAAATACACATAACTGCTGTCAATTTGGCAATTAACAGCTATCATTCCAGAAAAGCATGAAGAAATGGGAGGATCTCATTTCACAGTTCTAACTCTGTGGGAAAAAAATAAAATAAAAATAAAATAAAAATAAAATAAAAATAAAATAAAAATAAAATAAAAATAAAAGAGAATCAGGTTTTCACCTGATTATCTACATAGAAATTCATTGATTGTCTGATTAAAATCATGAAGAATTTCAGTAAAATGACATAAGATGCATTTTTCTAGGAAGACATTTCCAAAGTTATTCTAACCTACCAAGTTTTGACCCAAAGACATTATACTCTGAAGGACAATTCATCTGTCCCTCAGACCTTTAGGAGACTTTTTTTGGATGGATAAGGTTTGTGGAACATTTCAGTGCATGTTTGTGAAAGAAAAATCATATAGACACATTTATTTTAGATTATTGGGCCCCTAAATTATAAAAAGTACTTCAGAGGCACCTAAGTAGCAGTGCCTTCAGAAAGCAGCTTGAAAGCATTGACTGCAGGCTTTTGAGACAAGCTTTTGAACCCTGTGAAAGACTCTGCTTGATATCAGTTCTCTTTCTATCAAGATTTTTCAATATGACTATCTTTGCTAGTAGGGAGAAAATGCTTCACCAATTGCTTAATTCTTAATGAATATTTAATTTACAAAGGTGTCAGCATTCTCTTTAAAGAGAGATTTATGCCCGAACTGGAGTGGTCAAACTCAGTAATTTAGAGACTTTTTAGAGATTTTTTTTTCCTTTCTTTATTTTAAATAGGATCCAATCCCATTTGATGAATGCTGCTAATATTTATATGTTTGTAATTTTTTTTTTCCTGAAAGTATTCATCAGAATGACTAGCATCAATTTAATTTTATGACCAAATAATAAACATTGTTAAAAATATTAAAATTCATTGTAAAAATCTAAAGCCATTAAAATACTAAATTCATTGTAAAAATCTAAAGCCTTTATCTGGATTTAAATAAAAAATGTCATGCTAATGGATAAAAAATGGACTGTGCATAAGCCAAACATCTTGATGTTTTCTTAAAGGAAACAGATGATCTAACAATGAAGTCTTTCAAATCAAAAATCACAGTTCTGTTTGTTTGTTTTTTCCTAGAAGAGACTACTGAATAAATTCTTTGAAAATTCCTTTAAAAATGCAATGTTTTAGTCCTCTAAAATGTTCACTTTCAATTAAAAATAATAAAAATGTAGGATTTCTTGAATTAGTTTTTTTTTTTTTTCAATAAAAAAACTAATGAAGTATTGTTTATGTAGCTGTCTCTGACAAATCACATGATTCCTACATAATTATCATATGAAATGAGTAATTGATCTACTGAATTTATACAAATGAGCCAAGAATGACTGTTATAGTTTTACTTATCACGTAAGCTTAAAGACTTGTTTCTCCTACAAGCTACAAGTTTATGTCAATGCCATAAACTTTCCCTTCTTCCATTACTTTCCCAAATTTTCTTATCCCCTCCCCTATCTTACATAAATATAATCAGTTGTTTATTTTTATTCCATAGGAAATAAAGTGTTGTTATACACCATTTTTAAGGCAAATTACAAGAACTCCAACAGGAGCAACAAGAGTTCCTCACTTTTGCTTGAACACTCAATTGTCTTGAGTATCCTTTCAGGTTAGAAGGAATTTCCATGGGGCTGACTGCAGCGATCAAAAAATGCTGAAATAGTAAGAAGAAATCCCATTATGTCCCATTATGCTAAATAGCTGAAATAGCTATGGAAGATCTGTTTGTTGTTCTGTTTTGTTTTCAATTTTGTTAATTTGCTTCTGCTGTTTTGTTTATTTAAGCCAGACAGACTCTTCATGTACTTTTAGGAAAGAAGTGTTCTTTCCCTTATCCACCATACTTTATCACCTCCTATGCATATTTCTATCTCTTCCCAAATGCAGTTGGGAAACACTCAATCAAATACTGAAATAACTGAGCCTGTAATTCCATGATAAGAATGAAATAGAGCCCTTGTATCTGAGACAATTAAAAAGAGGAGTTATTTGTTTAAACACTGTTGGAAAGTTTTCAGGACGGTGACTTAAAGTATTAATTTTCTTTCTTGAAATTAAATTTATTTTTTTCTGTGTAAAGAAAGCTTCTAGGTTCCATCCCACCAAGAAGAAAGGTTAATTTTAGTTTCAGTGTTATTTTCTGTTTTCTCAGCTGTATGATTTTAGTTATTGTAGGTAATTCACGTACCATATTCAAGGTTTTATACCCTTCAGCATGTGCTTTTAAATCAGTTTACGCCTAGGAAAAGAAGAAAAAATCACAAGGCTCCCCTATGTGAAAGTGACCTCTTCCTTTTGTAAAACCTGTGTGTACCTAAATGAATTGTGTGCTTGTTGGTATTGTTATTGTTTCAAGCCCAGACTTATGAGATATATTATTCCATATTCACATAAGCTGCAATAGGCTGACAGTTTTTGTCCCATTGCTGTGCTGGCAATTTTACAACATCAGGCCAGCAAAAAGTGGCCTCACAGTAATTTTACCTCATCTTTTCTGATCACCTCAGTATGGGGGATATTAACAGTGAACAGATATTCAAAAATTTAAATAAATAAATAAATACATCACTTACCTTTTGATTTATGCCAAAAACAAACAAACAAAAAAACACATGCCCCTAACAATGAGGAAAATGGAAATAGGAAAATAAGATAGTACACTCCTGAGCTTTCCTATATGCTGCACAAATATACCTAAGGCCTTGATCATGGAAGAATGTGGGATATGAGATGGGTACAGTTATTTGAAACTTTTGAAAGGCTTTTAACTTCTTGAAATAGGTGTAACAGTTTATTTCTAATCATTATTTATGCCCAAATGATCATACTTAATGATCAGTAAGTAGACAGTGAAATCATACAATGAGGTTTTATTTTGTCATAAGTACAGCAAGAAACTGTCGGCAAAAAAAAAAAAAAAAAAGGTATGTTCCTGAAGAGGGACATATGAGTGAGACCTAGGGAACTATTGATCATAACTGCTTTAGATATTTGAGGTTTTGCTTGAATAAATCTGATTCATTATTTCTGTTAAATAAGCCTTTTTTTTTTTTATTTGACGGATAAACTTTGGTTTGTTGTCTCCTGAAACACTTGGACATCTCATGTGGGATATGACTCCTTAGGAACAAATAACAAGAGAAACAAAACATGTCAGAGAAATGAAAATACTATCTTAACACAAAGTAGTCTGACTCTTCTGTTTTATTTATTTATTTATTTTCCCCAGGCATCAAGAGCTGGAGGATTAGCATATAAAATCTTGTATTGGAAGAAAAGACATGAAATTAAGTACTTTTTTTTTTTTTGGATCGATCAACACCTCTAACTTTATGTACACCTCTAACTTTATATACAGTTCAGTTGATTTTATTTTTTTTAATGTAGTTTGCTGAATAAGATCTATTCCCAACAAAATTTCATTTTAAATTCTATTCAGATATCTTATCTCATAATTTTCAGAAAGGAAAAATAAACTACAGAAATTGGAAAGATGCTTTATGTAAACCATCATGAAAATTCTCTTTTTCCTATTTCTATTAGGCATTGTAGTTTATCAAGCATGAAATACATCTGACATCTGATCTATTTTTTATTTTCCCAGAATACAGAACCAAAGAGTTTCAAGAGTGAAATAAAATTACCATACAATTTCATACCAACCATTAGCACCATCAACATCACAGAATGACCACTGAGTGAGTAGCCTAAAGAAATTAAGATATATTCAGAATATGAATGTTCACAGAGGACAGACAGAAGGATAATCATTTTTTATTACCTGATAGTCCTGTAGCAACCCCTTGGATTGAAAGGCTTTTTTCCTAGCACTAAGTGATTCTTGAGGACTCTGTGTGATTTAAGAAGAGGAAGAAAAAAGTAGAGCTTATGTGGCATCTGGCAAGTGTTGAAGGAACAGCAACAGAAAAAAAATCTCACTTGAAAGGGAAAAGGATCTCTAAAACTAGAAATACCATCTCTGTTCTAAACAGTGACTAAAATGTAGTCTAGAAGACAATTTTTGTTCTTTATAAAAATGATGGCAAATTCAACATAAACATAAGGTTTTACACTAGTGAGTCTACAACCTGAAGTGCCACCATGTGGATCCACAGTAGAATCACTGGTGATATAAATATCTCCTTTGTATAATATTGATCTGTCCTCCTTGATCTTGAAAGACACTGGAATTTCTTCATTAGTAAGTTGTAAATTGAAATAAGTTTTAAAATAGCAGTGATGTTTAGTTACCTGCACTTGACATCCAGTTTAATTGTCTAGGTTATAAGAGACCTCAAGATCATCGAGTCCAACCTCTGACCTAACACTAACAAGTCCTCCACTAAACCATATCACTAAGATCTACATCTAAACATCTTTTAAAGGCCTCCAGGGATGGTGACTCAACCACTTCCCTAGGCAGCCCGTTCCAATGCCTAACAACCCTTTCAGTAAAGAAGTTCTTCCTAAGATCCAACCTAAAACTCCCCTGGCGCAACTTTAGCCCATTCCCCCTCATCCTGTCACCAGGCATGTGGGAGAACAGACCAACCCCCACCTTGCTACAGCCTCGTTTAAGGTACCTGTGGAGAGCGATAAGGTCACCCCTGAGCCTCCTTTTCTCCAGGCTGAATAAACCCAGCTCCCTCAGCCACTCCTCATAAGACTTGTTCTCCAGGCCCCTCACCAGCTTGGTCGCCCTTCTCTGGACTCACTCAAGCACCCCCATGTCATTCTTGCAGTGAGGAGCCCAAAACTGAACACAGTACTCGAGGTGCAGCCTCACCAGAGCTGAGTACAGGGGGGACAATCACTTCCCTAGCCCTACTGGCCATACTGCTTCTTATATAAGCCAGGATGCTGTTGGCCTTCTTGGCCACCTGAGCACACTGCTGGCACATATTTAGCTGAGTATTAACCAATACTCCCAGGTCCTTCTCTGCCAGGCAGCTTTCCAACCACTCATCTCCTGCACAGCCAGCTGAAGCAGGTAGCATATGATGCGTTTTAATAATTACCAAACAGGAATAAAAATGTTTATTTTAAAGCTGGAATGTAGCTAAAATAAACAATGATAAGAAACAACTCAGCTTTCATCAGTATTCTGAGAGTATCGTTACATGATTTTAAGACAGTCAGGAAGTCATTTATATGGGAAAGCAAAATGCATTGTGTTATAAGGATGCTGTGGCTCCCTTCTCCATTGTCACCCCGTAAATGTGAAGCTGAGACTGCCACCTAACTGCTTCTATAAGAGAAAGCGGAAGGCAGAGATTCCAAGTTTGATTCCCCAGGAAATTTGACATGCACAGATTAGATATAGAAAGATGGTAATATGATTCTGCAGGTAATATGATTCTCCATAGGCTTTCTTATATATGCTGGCCAGGTAACATGTCTCATTATATGACTGAGAATGGTTGTCACAATTTTGTTTGTTATGTTTATGTTTTCCCTTCGTTACTGAAGAAGATTGGAACTGATGCCAAGAGTGCTCCAAAATTACAATTACTTCCAAGAAAAAATGCACTTTTTCCTGGAATAGTACAGATATCAAAGAGTAGTCAATACAGATCTGGAAAGGTTACCTGGGCATTTTCTATTTCTTCTTTTCTATTTTAAAAAGTGAAGCCATTATGATTCTAATGTTTGTTTTTATGTTAGTTCTGAAACTATTTTATTACCTTCTTCTAAAATAAAGCTCATTCATAATTTCTGAGCCTCTAGTTAAATGTAAATTAATATTTTAATTTCCTAGGATAATCTATTACTGTATTTGAGGCAACATATTTTCTTTGATAGTTACTTTCTACTGTGAAAGAAATAGTATGTGAAAAGAAAACTTGCACACTGGATGGAACACTACTAATAGGAATTAAGAAAACACAGAAAAATAAAACTGAAACATATGCTGCATTTGCCAGTTTGTCAGTTGTTCTCATTAGACTTCATCTTGTGCAGACCAATATAAAGATAATATGTCTCACAAACTCACAAAAAAAAGACATTAAGGTGAGTGAATATTATGTGCCCTGCATGAAACAAGGTACAAGTCATTGAAGATGAATGGCCAAATCTTTGTGTTTTATTCAAAAGGGAAGAGGTCTTAGTACAGACCCTAAGAGTTTGAGCAAAAATGGAGAAAACAGTCTCTCACCTGTGGAGAAAGATTTCTGTGCCAGAGCTGTGAGTCACTGAAGACAAAATGGGGGAACATGAACCAACTACTTCTGTGAGCTAATGAGAGACTTCAGTCTCAAGGTTTCAGTCTTATAGCTTCCATAATCATTAGTAGTTAAAATTTCAAAGGGCACATAGGAAATACAGAACCCAACTGCCATCAGTTGTCAACAGTAACTAAGCTCTTTCAAAACCTCCACATGCTCACTGTTCTGTAGCTAATGAACAACAGCAATAAATTCACGATGAGATATCTTTTCTTTTGCCTCCATTTTAAGAGATTGCTCTAGCATATTTTGTGATATATATACACTCTTTTAGGCTTCACAGCTACTGTTTCATTGAAGATGAAGGGATCTGACGTTTTTTTATGAAAAAATAAAATAAAATACAAGTCAGGAAGACAGTGAGGAGAATTTTTTCCACTTTGTTCTTTCTAGTGCTTATTCACAAAAATAAAACTTGAATTTCCCACTGGAAAGCTACAGTGTGCTTAATGGTACTTAGTTCTTTTGTTTTCAAAGTTGTCTCAAGGACACATTGCACTGTGACAACATAAATCAAGTTGTATTCCTTGTGCTCTGCCAAGCAGTATTACAGAAGACAATGCAATGTGACTCTAACAACCTGAGAAAATGTCGCAATGAGACCGAGCTCAGGATATCACACAAACAGGCTCTACAAAATTTTAAAAAGATTCTGTGTAAAACATTTTTTTATTATTATTATTTTTCCCCAAAGCTTCACTAAGTATAGGCCTTTCTTTCTATTCACTGTGAATTCTATTAAGTCTGTAAAGAACGCCATGTGACTGCCAGGAAATAAGTTGTGTGGAATCAAAATCTTGTTCGTGTACTTTGTGTTGCTCTGACTCAATAATGAAATGTTCCCGTTTAACATCTCATGAACTGAACATGTTCTCATACATTAACATATTACCACAAGTTCCTAGGAAGTAATATAAAGGGTTTTCCAGGTTTGTAAGAGCACACATTTGTGAGGTGAGTAACTGGTATAGTGCAAAAGGGAAATCTTGTTCTAAATAATGTGAGACAACTTGGATCCCAATGTAAAGAAGCAGTACTATACAAATTTCAACAGCTATTTCAGTGCCCGATATCTTGCCAATATATATAAGTGGTACTCTGGATTGTGGACTGTTCAAGAAAAGAAGTGTACAGTTTAATCTGCATTTCCATTTGGATCTATTGCACATAGATAAATATTTCATTGAAATATATACTGAAGGAAAAATAAAAACAATATAGGAGAGATTAAAGATTTTTTTCTTGAGAAGCTTTTCAGGCAGGTAAGTGGAGATATTTGGAAAGAGAGAAACAACTTTATTTCATACTAATATGCTTTAAAATTACATATAATTAATGAATTTCTTTATGGAGTGTTTAGTGTTACTGTTCATTTAAAAGACTGTAACAACGACAAACTCCACAACAACAAAATACAGGTTGAGTTGCTTCCATGAATTATATTGTTATGGATTTATATTTATGCAGATATTTTCCCCCATTAACGTTCCAGTGAAAAAGTCATGCCTCATATGGTAGAAAATTAGCTTCAAATGGAACCTACACTGAATATGTTAGCTGTTGGTGGATTTAATAAGATTAATTCTATGCCGGTCATTTAACAGAAATAACCTGTGCTATTCCAAAACTGAAGAGTAATCTGAGTAAATGGAAAACTTCCACCTAAAGTCTGTCACGCTGACACAGTCTGTTCTGGCAACATCCAGTCCATTGTGCTGCTTCTATACCTAACTAATATTAGAGAGATAAAAATATATCTATTTTTGGCCATCACATTCATAACAATTTCAGGGAAGAACCATACAACACTGTTTTAATACACTGATGAATATCAAATAATATCCAGTTGAATGTATTATTTTTTTGCCTCAGAGATAAAAAACAATAAAACACAACTTAGAGTTGTCAAGTCACAATCATTAGGAAAACATCAGATATATGTAAGCCTCAGAGGAAAGAGTCTTCTAGGGAATGTCTCAAAACATCACTACAGGTTGAAAGTTCCAGGAAAAATAAAACAGTATACCACATTTTTGGTCTCAAAATTGTGTGAATTATGACTGCAGAGTCCCTGAGGAAATGAGTGCCCTTTGTAGCCCAAATGTCATGCTGTAGCCCAAAAGTCAGCATGTTCATCTGAAACCATAACAGTTTAATGTGGGAATATTTTATGCATTTGATTTGGATATAATAATAGGAATTCAGCTGATATCATGTAGAAATTCTGATTTTTTTCAAAGATCAAATTTTTCATTGAAAGTATCTTCTCCTTTAGTCATATGATTAACCTTAGCATTTGAGTTAGTAATAGCAAGACCACCCACATCAATAAAGATAAGCACATAAATTAGTTCTCTCTATAAAGTTGTTTCACTGGAATATTAAAAAAATATTTTCATCTCTTCACATGATAAGAAATCAATTAGTTTCATTAGTTTCCTCTGTGCAGTTTACACAAAGTATACTACTTTAAAAGCCTTTCTGTAAAAGTCAAAAAAAGATATATTGAAATTATCTTTTAAAGAAAATATTGGGTACTTCACATCTGAAAATACCTTAGCTGATTTTAACAATATATGTTTTCAAATAGCTGTAGAAGAACATGCAACAAAGATGAGCATCATGAATGTTATTTTCCAAACTGAACCCTTATATAGCCTCCTCCTTTTGAATATATATACTGTCTTTTGTTTTAAAGGAGGTTGTTAATGTCCAGCCATTATTTTTTATTTTTTTATTTTTTTTCTCCAATGCTTTCTAAGTTCCTCATATCAATGCAATTCCAGTTTGGATTTTGCAAGAGGAATTCATATTTAATTTTATTCTTCTATCCAATTCATACATATGCTTAAAAAGATTCAACACTTTTCATGACATTTGCTTAGACAGAGAAGTTAACTATTTAAACAATTTCTTATAAATGGTAATCCATAGGTTAATTGTAGTTTTTGTCACAAACTCACCAAATGACTTGGAATTGTCAATGTGTTCTTATCTGCTTTGAAATTTGACACAATTACTTTTTTCTTTTTTTTTTTTCAGTGTGAATGTGTTCCACTTAACTATGTTGTGCATTCTAATTCCTTGTACTTTTTTCTTTGATGCTGGAGTAGTTTCTCTTTTTCATCTTCTTTTTGAAAATGAAATGCTTTTATGTCATCTGGGGTAATAAGAAAACACAAGCAACTGTAAAGATCAGAGAGAATTAAGCACTGATAGACTTCTATTTTCACTGACATTTCATTCATTGACTTCAGAGAAGTCTAAGGCTATCAACAAAAAAGGCCATCAAACCATCAGACTTTCAAATACATTAAACAAGTTATTTCAAAAGGTTACTATTATTGTGACTATTTCCATCCAATAGATGTTTCATATTTGAAGTATCTTTTGAGAAAAAAAAAATAGATTTTAATGTCATGGTTGTCCATTGGATTTTAAGTGGCAAAGCATGAACTGCTGAAATTAATCGTTCTTTGTTACAATTATTTAGACACAGTAAAATGGTGTCATTTTAATGATACAGTCCCTCACCTTTTTATCTTCTAATTCTGCTTTTTTCAAATAAGCCTTTATAAATCATATTGTATTCTGTGACACCAACTTTTGGCATAATAGTAATAAAAACTCTATCAGAAAACTGATTACAACTGCACATCAGTTTTACTACAAACATTTAAAAATAAATAAAGTACAACTGTTTTTGATTCTGAGCTTTTTTTGTTCCACAATATGTATGCCCCTTATTTATTTATTCATTCATTCATTGCTTCATTGATTGTAAATCAAATCAAAGTCCTACACCTGGTTTTAACATTCTTTCAGAAATATTTTATACTACTTCCTCTATTTTCAAATGTTTACAACCAACAAATATATTTGTAACTAAAAGCAATGATGACTAAAAAGAATAAAGAATGATGTTCAATGTCTTGTCAATATGAAGATAGTCTCTTGTTATTTTTAGTAAGTATAATTTCCCTTTATTAGACTATTAATTAACCTACAGCCTCTACCAAGGGGAAAATTCTATTCACTTCTCTTGATAGAGAGACAATTTCATCCACAATTTTCCAGTGAGATTTTGAAAAATTTAGGGTAAAGATAAGAGGCAGCTAAAAGGTAGGTGGGAAAATGTAAATTTCCATATGTCATTAACTGAGATATTAATATATAACATTAATTTCATAAAAATGTTAGCTTAATATACCTCACAGTTTTCCCTTTTAAAATATTAACAACGTTATCAAAAATGCATTTGCATCTCCTCTTTTCTGTTATCATATTCAAGAAACGATTATCCCTGAAGAGAAACATTTTCTAGTTCAGTACTTTGGATGTGACTTTTTCAGCCTCTTAGTAGCTGTAAACAAGTGAAACTTGAAGTCTGGGAAAATAAGAAGCTAGACAGTGACAACTGGTCTCTTCTCCCCATTCTATCCACATGCAACACACACACATATATATGTAGCTATACACATTCACAAATAATATGATTAGAATTCTGTTCCAAATGATTAAGCCTGTGACAAGTATATCACAAACACAATGTGGTGTTTAATGACAGATTTATTTTTAAAATTATAGTGATCTCAGCAGGCTCATTGGTTTCATACAAAAAATAAAAAATAAAAAAAAATCATAGCTTTCTGTACTGCAACATTTGTACAGATATAATATTGATTCACAAAATTAAATGCATAATGATAACAGAAAATTTAAAGACAAATAGATAGGAAAGTAAGCACTGGAGATGGGATTCCCTACACAGCTGCCTTTCATTTCAAAATAAATAAATAAATAAATAAAACATGAGGCGAATTTATTAGCCTTCTGTGTAACACTGCACAGACCCATAGAACGAGTGATTTGTGCATTTGGCTTAATGGAAGTCAAGTTTGATTTTTACCTCAGGAATATAATTCCATACTAATACCTACTAATACATTTTGTGTTGTTCTTGACATGTTTCTCTTGATGCATTCCAAGTAAACTGCTCTTACAGTGAACAACATAATGAGATTCAGTGGAAATATACATAGTATTTAACAATTCTTACCATTAGGAAAAATGCTGTAGTCAGATCTTTAGAATTTACAGTAGAATTTCTAGTTCCTTTGAGCTGTCTCAGACTCCTTCTAGTTCACATCACTGCTTGCATTTCTGTGCAAAGGTATTTTCTTTTCCTAGAAGGTGACTGCAGGTTTTTAAAATCCCTAGATGAAAATGAAGACTTTCATAGTATTCTCAGGAACAAGGTAGGGAACACATTCATGTTGAAAACATTACCAGGTGGCAGCAAAGCATTGAACAGTTCATTGTGTTACTCTACTATTATCCTTACAATACTTCAAGCCTTTTTTGTTTATTTGTTTTCCAAATAATTTTACCAGTTGTTTTGAATTCTAATCTTCTGCTTCTGTGTATTTTCAACCCCTTTCAACTTGGCATCACTTGTAAATTGAACAAATAAACATTGTCTCTCTGTTTCCTAGCCCAGGTTAGTAATAGAATCTCTTTGCAGCAAGGAAGAGTCAAACTAGGCATTCGAAAACAAGGTAGAGAGGGAAGCACTAGAATAGATTGTATGGAGGCAATATAGGTCTTCTGTCACTTGAGGTCTTTAAAGACCAGTAAGAAACACCAGTTAGGAATGAGTACAGCTGGTCACACATTTAGACAGTTCAGGTGGCTATGTACATTTTTGTAGTCTGTGTCAATTTTCTCTCATTTTATACCATTCAAAGCAAAACACTGAATACACAAAGCAGGCTGCATGCAAGCATGATGTAATACTGCATAGGTTGCTTGCAAAATTAGTAGTGTGAACAAACCATTATAAATTTTATATTTATTCTTACAAATCAAATCCCCAAGAACTCCTAGAATATTCTGAGGGACACACATTCCAACATAGAAAAAATAAATAAATAAAATAAAATAAAATAAAATAAAATAAAATAAAATAAAATAAAATAAATCTGCAGAGCTTTTGAGCCAACTCCCATTTTATATCAAATTTCTCTATTACCCTATTTTTTGAAAACATTTTTTTCTCATTAAATCGTTCTTAACTCTCTCTCTCTCTCTGTATTCACACTCTCTTTCCCATGTGTATGTGCTACAAGCACCATGTGCCAGCTGCTGGCAATACCAGCATGTGTGTGACTGAAACTGATGGCAGCTACTGGAGTCAGGCTGTGGGTATAGGCGCTTTGTGGGATGTGGTGTTGGATACTGGAGTGAGTGTAGGGGTCTCAGCATCAGTCACTGGTGGGACCTGTGTGTGTGTGAAACCAGTGCCAACTGCTGAAGTCAAGCCAGGGTGCTCAGGCTTGTGAGCACTGTGGTGCCCAGGTGCTGGAGTGAGTGGGGCACTAGCATCAGCTACTGGAGTGAGTGGGTTCTTCTACCCACAGACACAGGGTGGGAGTGGTGTGCGCTCCCAAACTGGCTAGAGTCGGGGACCGGCGTGAGCAAGGTGAGCACTGGTGGCTTGGAGCAGGGTCGAGGGTCACACACGGCCTGTTCACCTGGTGCCAGTTGCTGGGGGGCTGAGTGTCTGTTTATTTCCCTAAACTTGGTGTGCATGGGGTGTGCCTGTGTATTTGCTAGCAAACTTTAAGCGGGACCATATGGCTGGACCATCTACCTTTATTCAGATAATGAATAATGAATATTGTGTATTCAAAGAAAGTTTGTGCCAGCCTTGCTACATGTTCAGAGAGGACAGATTAAAATAAATAAATAAATAAATAAAAACCCAAGTCTATCTATAATAATAATAATAATAATAATAATAATAATAATAATAATAATAATAATAATAATAATAATAATAAAAGATTTCAGTTAGTTCAGTTATTTGTCAGACACATCATTTATCCTCAGCTGTCACAGACTCTATATATGCAGCTAGTCTTTATTTAATAAACTAAGCCTGAGTACATACAAGTATAAAGGAGTGAAAGTTCAAGTCTATATAATGCAAAAATACCTGAATGGCTCTAAAATTGCCTTAAGATTGGTTCACTTAACTGCTTGAGTATAGATGTTTTTATTAAGATCAAATTTTTTAATGTATTATGATTCCGACACAGAGTCTCTGATATTATACAAACAATCAAATAAGTACAAATTATCCTTTTTGATTTCTGTGAACAGATTTTTCTAAACCTTAGGGTGCATTATTTCATTGCAGTTTAACTATGTCAATTCTAACTGTGTAGATAAAAACACAGGCATTATCACAGTGTTCAAATAAAAGGATAACTTCAGTGTTGTCTGAATGGTCTTAACATAATTTGACTTTCACAACATAAAATACAGTTTTTGCCAAACAGGATTACATTTCTTCTGATGTTCTTTTTGAGTAGTAGCAATTTATTGGTACCACCGAAAATGCATCTCTTAGCTTTCAGTCTGAAAACAGTATTAGTTTCCTTTCAAAATGGTAGGCATCTTTGCACACAAATCTCATTTTTAGCAACTTCTTTTTCACCCAACTATTCAGGCTTTAACACAGCTGTGTAACAAGCATGCTAGCTGTGCAGCTATCCAACAGATCCTGAAAAGCACTTCCTATCTGACACTGTAACCACCCAGTGTCACACCTAGATAAAAGGGGATGGAGAAAACACTCAGGTAGCTGGAGGGTAATGAAGGAAGAATGGCAGCAGGGCTCTTCTGCAGAATCACTGTTTTTCTCTCTCCCACCCCACTGTCACCATCCTTTTATTTATCTATTTATATATTTATTTTTTTGTTGTGACAATGAAATTAACAGGGAAAAGGGAAGAAGAAAAAAAAAAAAAAGCTAGTTGTATTAGCTTAATGGTAAAGCTAGAGCAATCCAAAATTTCAGAAACTTTCCTGTATCTGTATATTTATACATATTTATAAACACACATACTTGAAACCTACATGAGACACTTCCTACATTTCCTGTGCCTGGGCAAACACTGAACGTATATACCATGCAAAAAGAACAAGTTTATTATCTTTCTCTCTCTTTTCTAAAGGCAATTGTACATGCTTGTTTATGTTTTGTAATGATTTTTAATATAATTCTTTCTAATCTTCATATGCATTTGTTAAGATGTTTCAAAGAAAAGTTAGGATATCTTCAAAAAAAAAA